AGAAGAAAGCTGCTGCTCATCACTTCATGAACACAGAGAAAGGAGAAGCATCCAAGGCCAAGAGCAGCATCCCCACGGTCCAACGTGGTGGTGGAACGTGATGCTTTGGGCTGCTGTTGAGCCGACGGACCAGACAGCCTGGTCAGAGGAACCGGCTTCATGAGAACAGAGGAGAACATCAGGAGGTCTGCAGGAACACTGCTCCTTGGGCAGCATTGGAGCTTCAACAAGATGATGATGTGAAACATGCAGCGAAAGTGGTGAAGAAACGGTGAAGAGGAAACAATGAGAAGATGTTGGAGCGGCCCAGCCAGAGTCCAGACCTGAATCCATCCAGAACCTGTGGAGGAACCCAAGAGCAGAGTGATGGAGAGGAAGCCTTCAAGCTCCAGGAGCTGCAGATGGACACTTGGAGGAACCAAATCCCAGAAACACTGTTAGACACTGAAGGAAAATAAAGACTCTAATTACTGAGGAAGACGACTAATCAGTTCGGATAAAAAGAAAAATAACATCATGAACATCTCAAACTCAATGTCTGACTGTGTTTATGTCATTGCCAGCCTGAAGAAACCCGTTGGTCCAATACAAATTCACTATAAATCAAATTGTGGTGGATAATAATAACTTTGGGCCCAACTGTATAAGTTGCTCGACTTATTGTCTTTTTTTAAAAACTGTACTGAACTAGTGTGTTTTCTTTCTAAGGCACTTCAACTCAGTGGATCTGGCCGTGAAAGAGGACACTCTGGATTTACTCATCCAAGGTTGGCCTTTCTTGATGTAATCATGCTTGAACTTACCACCTCGATATACTGGAGTTATCATGTATTATATTATCTGGTTTCTTTTCCTCTCAGTGGTCGGTAGTCTGGCTGTTTCCCTGCCGGCGCTCCTCGTCTCCACCTCCCTCTCAGCCGCAGAACGCAAAGAGAAGCTTAACGCAGTAAAAATGAGCGTATTCCTGCTCTGCAAACTCACAGAGAGTCTTGAGAGCGACTCCTACAGACAGAGTATTGTCACAGCACCTGGGAAGGTACGTTTATTAATCATAGTTTTTATTTAATTATGGTGACATTTAACTGTTGAAAATGTCCGCTGATGAGATTATGGCAAATTTTCTGATCCAGTCAGACTGAGAGATTGTGTTCTGTGACCTGCTGCCGGTGGGTAGTCTTGGTAGTGTGATGGAGCTTTATTGTACTGCTGTAAGGGCCCACCTATAGTTAAACTGTCACCTTCTACAGCCTCTGCCCTCCACAAGAAATGGGATGGGACAGGTGGAAGATGTCGAACAGTGTGTGTTGTATGAACGTGTGTGTGTCGGCTGTCACAAGACCACAGTCTCTGTAGTTGGTTTGACAGTTATGAATCACTGTCTTTGGTAACCTGAGGGCATCATTTGTAGATTTTTCTGAAAAAGTTCAAGCACATTTAGGATGGACATGACCTAATCAGGTTGTATCTGTGTTCAGGGTGGGAAAAAAGGTAAATCTGGCGGAGAAGGACTGATGCAGTGGGACTCGGAGAGAGAGAAGGTTCTGCAGGCCCTGATCCAGCTCCTCCAGCTGGACATCCGACCGCTCTGGAACCTCTCCCTGGTGGAGGAAGAGTTCATCAGGTACTCAGGCGTCAGTAGATTAGCCGGTGCATTATCCCGCTATGTTGTTCAGATCTCCTCCCAGCATTAATACCACTGTTAATTGGAAGCTTATATGAAAATGATCTTCGTTAATGATGTCACGCCAAACCTAATGAGGTTAGATGATCTGTGTTAAATGGCTTCATTTAGTGTTTCCGTTGTAAACATTTCCTCACAGTCTGAGCAGAAGAGATATTCAGTGAATGTTTTCCTCATTTGTTTGTGTTTAGTACTTGAAGCTAAACTTGAAACAGCATCAGGAAAATCAGATCCTTTCCTGTCTGAACATGCAGCACAACTCCTGGTCCAGGCTCTCATAATATCACGCATTGACTACTGCAGCTCCTTACTGGCAGGCCTCCCCACATCCACGGTCAAACCTCTGCAAATGGTCCAGAATGCAGCAACACGTCTGATTTTCAACCAGTAAAAACAGCATGTCACCCCGCTGTTCAGATCGCTTCACTGGCTTCCAGTTGCTGCCAGCATCAAATTCAAAACCCTGACACTTGCTTACAAAACCACAAGAGCAGCTCCCTCCTACCTGAACTCTCTCATTCAGGTCTACACTCCCTCTGCTCACTACACTCGACCAACAAAAGCCTCCTGATCCAAGCACCACAACAGGGTCGAGGTCGATAGTTAGACTCTTCTCCTCCGTGGTTCCGCGGTGGTGGAACAAGCAACCAAACTCTGTTCAATCTGCGGATTCCCTCTCAGTCTTTAAGAAAAGACTAAAGACCAGCTCTTCACTGAGCACCTTTGCATTGACGGACTGAAAACAAACAAACAAAAATTCCTATCACCTCCCGCACAGCCTGCTGTTGGCATCAACGCCCTGTCACACTTGAACTTGTTCTATGGCATTTATCTAGATTGTTTTCTCCTGACGAGACCCTTGCTTGTGTTGTATCTGCTCTCAGATGTACGTCGCTTTGGATAAAGGCGTCTACCAAATGAAATTGTATAAACTCTCAAAAAAAAAAAATCAAATATTACTGAAATCGTAACATGGACAAGTTAAATATCCGATTCACAGGAGTTAATGGTGAAATGCATCACATTATAAATGAAGCATTCTGCATCCTAAAAATCTGATTCTCCAGATGCAAAAATCCCATCATGTTTATATAGATGTTTGTTTTTTTTAATGGACAAGAAATAACCAATACTACTAAAAGCATAAGACACAATCTTAATGCTGTAAGTTTTTTTTTTTTTTTGTTCTTTCAGTTTCAGTTTAGAGGCTCCAACAGCAAAAGCGCTGTCTTCTGCTTTCTAGTCTGTTGTTTGAGCTTTTAAATCGGCAGCACAAAGCTCCGTACGATAAGTGTACAGACGCCTCTAAATGCCATTCAAACAAAAAAGAAAACTTTGGATGCCTTTGCTAGCGTTACATCATAAGAGAACATTTCCAGACATCCTACAATTTCCTCCAATGCTTCTAGAATCATTAACTCTTTCAAAGTACTTAACCAAATCATCTGCTGACAGCTCCTTTATTTTCATGTCATTGTGGTGCTACAGAGATTCTCCAGCTGCAAAGAAACACAAATGCTTGCTACAGGCAAAAAAATCCTCCTGTATGTGTTTTTTGGTAGACAAGAAATAAGTAATTGACCATTCCCACTAAAACTATAACTCAAGTTCTCTGCTAGTTTGTCACAATTCTGATGTTTTTCTTAATAAATACAGAACCTTGCATGTTCTTTGAGCTGGCTGACTTTAGCAAACTTTAAATTATGTGCCTTTCCTCTCAGCTGCGTGACCTGCTGCTGCTACAAGCTCCTGGAGAATCCAACCATCAGCCACGTCAAGAGCAAACCCACCAGAGACTGCATCATCCACCTGCTGGGGCTGCTCATCAAGAAGTACAACCACCTCCTTGGTCGGTCCCCGTCTCCTGCAGACTCCGTTAACAGGCTTTATTGCGCAAGGGTTAGATTGTAAATTCGGTGTGTCCTCTGTAAACTCCTCCCAGGCGCCAGCGTGAAGGTGATCCAGCTGCTGCAGCACTTTGAGCAGCTGTCGTCGGTGTTCGCTCAGGCTGTGTTTGTGTGGAGCACCGAGTACGGAGTCAGAGCGATCATAGGAGAGGTCATCAGGTCGGTGTGGGATTTCTTCGTAAGTCTGTCCGTGCGAGTCATCGACAGTAAATGACTGAAGTTCTGGTTCCCTTCCTTCAGGGAGATCGGGCAGAAGTCCAGCGAGGAGCTTGCCAGAGAGGGATCGGGGGTCAAGGCTTTCGCTTCTTTCCTCTCAGAACTCGGCGCTCTGGTGCCTGACTTGATGATCCCCAACATCAGCGTGCTCATCACTCACCTGGAGGGAGAGGTATGAAGGCTGACTTTTGAATTCCTCAATGAGAACACGATTGTCCTTAAATCGGTGGAACATTGCAGGAACATGGGTTGAGCGTAAGAGTTATAAGTTTGAGGTCGGTGTGACTTATTTCCACTCACACTAATGTTTTTGGTGCCTTTTTGGAGATGTTCTGTTTCGAGGTTCATTTGAGGATTGCTGGTCGAGAACAGGCTCGCTCCAGGTTAACTTCTGGTTGCCCTGGGGTTTCCTGACATTTCCATTTAGGTGCACCAGCACGTATGATTTAGACGCACTTAAAAATTTGTGCCGTGGCCTTTTGGCCCCGAACAACACATTTCAAACGCTTCCCAACACATCGATAATTTATTACCACGATATGTAAATAAACAGGAATAAAAGTGCAGAGAAGTGTTTTTCTTCCGTCTCAACTAGATGCTTTAAGATGTAGTTCTTCTTTTTCATAACACGGGACAACTGTCTTGGAGATACGCTGCTTTTTATTTAATGCTTTAGTTTAGACTTTTCTCAGAAAACGTTTTGTTCCCGTCTGTGCGTTCGGTTGTTTGAGCTTTTAAATCAGCAGCACAAAGTGTTGTGTGATAAGTGCAAAGACAGATCCAAAGCAAAAACTATTGTGGATGCCTTTGTCAGTGTTACGCCACATGAAGAAGGGTTGAACAGTCTTTGAAAGAAAAGTCTCTGACAAATCCCCAAATTATTGTAGAATAATAAAAAAAATATTTAATCAAATCATCTGCTGAAAACTCCTTTATTATTTCACATAGCAGAAAAGCTAAATGCTGCACAGTGTCCGTTTATTCTGACATTGTGCAGCGTTCTTTAGACCAGGCAGCGACTTTACAGCATCCAGTGAAATGTTAAATTGTGCTGGGATGTTCGTCTGAAGTTTGTTTGAAGAACTAATGGCTTTTTTTTTTCATCATTATTCCTCCACCACATCGTCGTGTGACATTTCCACAATAAACTGCTTCTCATTCAGTCTCAGTCAGAGAAACCTCCCTGACACACACACACACACACACACACACACACACACACACACAAAAACTGGATGAAAATGTTCCAAGCAAAGACAGAAATCCTATTACTCTTCAATATCGTGTCTCCCACACAGTTTGGCTGCCTTTTTTTTGTGTGTCTTTCCTTGCTGTGTGATGCCGGTGTTGCCCAGTGATGAGACCAAGGCGAATACGAGCTCGCTGAATGAGAGTTGGGTTCTTCTGGCCTCGACTGGCAGGTAATCTTGGCAGTGCAGAGGAGGATTCCTGCTCTGCTGTAAGGGCCTGCCCACAGCNATATAAATAAAATGTAATTACATTTAAATTCAAAGTCAATACATTTGTTTGCAGTTCCTGAACATGAAAGATTTTCCAAAGCAAACTCTTGAAATGAAAAACTCTTCAGTAGCAAATGTCAAAAGAAAAGTAAGAACTTTGTTAATCCCGATGGAAATCCTCAAGCCAAATATGGCTCAGAAAAGAAAAGAATATTAGAATAGATGCAGACTTAATACAAAAACAAGATTTCAGTATGATTCAAATAAATAAGATGAAATAAGACTAGAATAGAAAGTAAGAGGTAATACTGGCAATAATACTAAGGCAGTAAAGTAATATCACACGTAAAAATGAAATGTATTTGATAAAAAAGTATTGCACATGAAAATGTAATACTGCACCTGAAAATCAAATTTTACACATGGAATTGAAATATTAGATTGTGTGCTGCTGCTCAGTGGTCCCAGTCTGCGGTTGAGGCTGCTTTAATATGAAAAGTCAACCATTTATCAGTCAAATCGAGTCCTAAGTCACTCGTGTGTTGTAGTAAAATGCAAGAACACATTTAGAGTGTTGTTAAGAAATTAAAGTAAGCTGTGGACAGTGACATTCTCCACAGTGTCGGGCGGAAATCTGAGCTGGAGACAATAAAAGGCATGAAAAGGGTAGAATTTTGTTGTCATTGTTATAGAAGAACAAAAGAATGAAAATTATAATCAGCTTTATTGATCAAGTATGTGAACATATACATGGAATTTGAAGAACCAGGCTCAGGGAGGAAGACCATCACACTGCATCTCAGAGCAATTTGTAAACGCTGTTTTTAAAATCTGCTATAAATTATTATTATTATTATTATTATTATTATTATTGTTGTTGTTGTTGTTAATAATAATAATAATAATAATAATAATAATAATAATAATAATAATAATTTTTCTGAATTAGACTTCTGACTTTCAGTAGCCCCATCCTCTATTAGAAAAGCAGCTGATTACATTTTTTTGTTTGTTTTGTTTTGTTTTGTTTTGTTTTTCCTGGTAACGACGGCGCATGTCTGTGACGTCAGCGTCCCGTTGTTTTGGCGCGGTCTCGGAGCAAATTTGAAAAGCTTCGGACCGTTAGCTGCCGGTGAGCAGAGCGGAGCGTCTCGCTGAGTACGGAGGGTCAAACTGTGGCTAACACTGCAGCTACTACAGGTGAGCTCCGAGTTTGTACCTTATTTAAACACGTGAGAACTTAACAGCGCTGCCACCGTCTCCGTTAAACCTCTAAGTGGCAGCTAACCAGCTAGGCTACACGGTTTAGTTAGACTTGCTAGCTAGCTAGCTAGCTGTTTGTGTGGCTAGCTGAATCCACAACAGCAGTCGGTTCGGTCACTAGATCACTTAAGTTTATTTCGGACACTGATACTGTGAGCTAACGTTTAAATTTTGGCCTTTTAGCCTCCCAGCTCGTGTTAGGCTACATTACTAGCTTGGTGATATGAAGCTACTCTCCTGTGTACAGTAGAACTACCTCCATCTGCTTTCTCAGGCGTTATAACTGCTGGGTTAGTTCACGTTTCCACTTGTTCATCTTCACGCAGGTATGTCGTGGGACTTTTTGGTGCCCGTGTACGTGGGCGACCTGGTGAAGACCGGAGGGATCAACCAGTACGTGGTTCAGGATGTGGTTTCCCCAAAACAGCTGCCATCCTGCCTCAGCAGTGAGTAAAAGTGGAGGTCTGCAGCTGGTTTGTGTTTGTCCATGTGTGCTGCTGTGTTTGTGACTGGACGTTCTCTCCTTCATACAGGGTTCAAGGCAGCACTGAGGAGCCAGGGCCCTTTGTGTATCCTGGAACACTTTGACACCGGCTACAGCGTCCTGCAGTAAGAGCTGATCATGTACCGTATTATCATCCCCAGAACAGGTTGATTTATAGACNTTTGGTAATCTGAGGGCAAAACTCAGTCAAACTCAGCCGGACAGGTCTGTCGCCTGAAAAAGTTGTCTCAGAACTCACGCATGAGACTTCCAGACGTGATTTACTGGTTTTAAACTTTGGCGTTTTTGTTAAGGAGTCAAAAATGCTTGCAGAGACAAGAAGTTGTAGATGTGTGCAAAAGTCATCACGCAAAAGACAAATTGGTATAATCGTGTTTATTATTATTATTATTATGATTATTGGGGGTCGACCATTACAGAGACCAATAATTAAATAATTGATAACCAATATAAACACCAGCACACGTCTTTATTAAAATGTCTGTTGAATAATTATATTTAAATTAGAATTTCTCTGAAATTATTGGCTGTGTTCCCAGTCAGGTGAAAAAAGGCGGCCGCGTATCAACATACATTTATTATAAACAAATAAATAGTGTGTTTACATTATTTATTTTATCGGGTATCGATTTTAAAAGTAGGAAATAGCTTTCATGTGGGAAAAATGCTGATAGCCTAATGAGTTTATTTCCCCCGAAAAACTGATGAATAAACACCTTAGTCCTTGTTTTTTTCTTAAATTAGTTTAGGTAGGACAGGAAGATTAACTTAAATGAAGGTTTGACCAGTTCGCTGCCAGAAATCCCTTCTTTTTGTTCTTTATTAGCTTAAGAAAGAACCCAACTTCATGTGTTAATTGAAGGAGAGAACATAGTGTCACGCAGTATAAAATCCGATCAAGTGGTGGCGCTCTGGAGCCCAGCATCACCGTTGTGTCCTGTAAATTATTCTGTTTGTAATCTCTTTCAGTACATTGCTTCACATGTTCTTTGTGACTCCGGCCTGAGTCATCGTCATTGAATTTGTGTGTATATATATATATATTTTATTTATTTTTTGGTTTCCCTCCCGGCAGTGGCAGTGATTAAAGCTTCTGAGCTGTGGGCCGCCATGGAGCCTGAGCTGCTCGTCACTGTCAGAACCGAGCTGGAGCCCAGGAGTGATGCTGAGAAGGAGCAGGATGAAGAGGAGGAGGAGGAGGAGGAGGAGGCGGTAGAAGAGGACGACAGAGCGACGGCGGTGAAGATCGCTCAATTCCTCCGAGTCAACAAATACAGGTGACGCTGCTCAGGCCCGGTGGAAGTCAGCCGGTGTCACTGCTGTAGGATTCCTCCTCACACTGTCAATTAGCCCACAGCGAGATGTGTGAAGCTTGTGTCGTTCCCTTCCACAGGAACGCTGCTCAGCTCTGCATCAGAGCTCACAGCCGCTTCCCGCAGTCGGAGATGTTCGCTGCTCTGTCCACTCTCACCCCCGACACTCTAATGGACACTCTGGCTCTGATATTCAAAGGTAAAAGCTCCACCTGACGCTCTCCTGTCATTAAGGCGCTCTCTGCTGTTAATTGAATCAGGAATAGGACATTTTAGGACTCAGTTCTTCAGGCTTCCTTTTGATTTGAAGAAATTCCCGTCACAGTCTGTTTCATTAACGCCGACACATCTATATTTGCCCTCATCAGAGACAGTTAGGTTTTACAGCACTAAGACACTCCGTCCATAATGTATTTTAAAACACCAGATCATGGAATGGCTCAACACGTTCCCTCCGACCAAACCCCAGCATCATGTCCAACGTATTCGTAGCACCTGAAGTGAGACGTGACAGTCACCTGTTCGTTTGCACATCAACGGTATTTACGTGAGCAGCACTGAGCTCGGCGGTAATTATATGTCGGCTTTCATCAAAGTTTTCCTGTGCAGGGTTTTTTTTTTTCTAAATCTGAAATGGGCACCAAAAAGTGTTGCGGAGTCGAAAACGCAACCTTCAGCCAAGTTCGTGATGAGGACAAGACTATTTGTTGGCATTTTTTGCCTTTATTAGTTCGAGCGAGGCAGGCGGCACCGAGCCAGAATCGGCCCAAGGACACTGCAATTATGCAGCGTGTGCTCTAACCGCTCGGCTGTCAAAACGCCCCTACAAGTGTGCTCTTGTAATGGATGTGCACTTTTTGTAGGAATGTTTGTCTCTGCTTCAAGCAGAGCTGCAATAATTAATTGATTAGTTGTCAGCTATTGAATTAATCTGCCACTATCTTCATAGTTGATTAACTGGTCGTGGCAGAAATTAATGGTGAAAAATGTGGAGCAAATAAAAAAACACCCCAACAAGCCAAACCACAAACATTTTTTTAGACTAAGATAAACTTTATTGATCCACAAGGGAATTTGTTTTATCACAGCAGCACAAAACACGTAATTATATAAGAATACATAAAAAATGAAATAAAAATAAGAAGTGAAAGAGCAAGCAGGGGAAAAAAAGAATAGAAGATTTCCATATGTATAATTTACAGTTATTGTTTCAGTCTGTAGTTGTTTTTGTTGTCTGCTGATGTGTACACATTGCAAGACAAAAGGAACCCAAAGGAAATCAGGCTTGGATGTTTTTTTTTTTTATTCTAGTTCGCGGTAACATAACACTTAAACAATCCACGAATTAAGAGGGCTGCAGCAAACGGAACAGATTAAACTTAATTACTGTGCAGCAGCTGCAGGAACTGTTGGCTAATCAGGCAGCGACGGACAGGTGGTTTGTTGGTTCAATGCCCGTACGTCTTCTTACTTTGCACAATACGATCCCCGGTGCTTTCCTCAGGCTCTGATGAAGACGCCTCTGAGCTCAGCCAGCACTTACCTCCGACCCCGCAGAAAGAGGGTGAGAAAGAGGGCGAGAAAGACGGCGAGGATGGCGAGCTGAAGAAGCAGGAGATGCTGGTCCAGTACCTGAGGGATACGGAGACCTTCGCCCTACAGGTGGAGAGGGCCATTTCCGTCATCAACACCATGCTGTACTGGAAGACCACCTCAGGTACGCCACACGGTGGTGGAGTGGTTCATGGGCCGACAAGGCGACGAGGTGGAAGATCTGAGGTGTGTTGTGTTTTCAGTGGTCCAGGAGGCGGTTCAGTTCTGCGTGACCGTGTGCGAGTTCAGCGTCGCCAACTCTGTGAGCGGCGTGAGGAAGATGCTGCCTCTGGTCTGGTCCACCGACGCTGCCATTAAAGACGCTGTGGTTCAGGCCTACAGGCGGCTCTACCTGAACCCTCAGGGCGACACCATCAGGTCTGTCAGCTATAAAACCGTCACATTTAAATCCTCCATGTGTTGTTTCTGCTATCAAGTCGATTTTAGCCAATTATTAGTGGTGAAAATGTATCTAATTAGTTAGAGGATTTGTATAAATTAATTGCATTTTTATCAAATAGCAATTTTGGACACATGAAGTCAAGTTTTTCAATTCAAATAAAGTTTGATGACTGAATCGATGAATAGACACATTTTTTTTAAAAATTTCTTCTATATCCATCGATGCATTTTTTCATCTGTCTACTGTAGTCGCAGATTTGTGAAAATTCAAAGTGCAATTCTAGCGATTATATTCAACATTTTAAGACTCTTTGTTGCACGATTTGCATACAACAAGCCAAGCGACGCAATCTCGTCTTCACCAAACTTTCCTGCGCGCTGACGTCGCTCGGCATCTTCTTCGCGGCTAATGAACTTTATGTGCATTAGCGCCACCTACTGGCTGGAGTGTGTGCATCAGTGTTACCGCTGGGCCACAAATTAGGGCACAGAGAAAGGTGCGATTAAATTTTATTCTGTAATTAATTAATAGAAATTAACGTCCCAGCCCCACCAAATACGCAGTGATTTTGACGTAGTTCTGACTGAAGCGTTCAGATTTTGGCATTTGCTGCAATTTATTTATTCTTATATTGTTCAGTGAATTTTAAAAAAATGAGAGAATTGCGTGGTCAGTTGGTGTGTTGTGTGTTTTCACCTAAAACAATAAGTGTGTGTCTGATCTTTATTAGGATGAAAGCCCAGACTCTGGTGGACAGTCTGTCCGAGCTGATGGTTGACGCTTCTCTGGGAACAATCCAGTGTCTCGAGGAAATTGTGAGCGACTCGATGCTACTCTCATATTATTCTCGTATTTCAGTGCATGACGGTGAATTATAGAAACACAGATTTGCATATTAGTAAAAGACATGTCTGTAACAATAATAAAATGAACACTGACGGGTACTTTGTGCCGCAGTATTGGAGCTGTAACCGTCCACACATGTGTCTGTAGGTGCAGGAGTTCTTTGGCAGCGGCAGCAGCCTCCAGTCCACCGTTGTTCAGGTCCTGTGGGAGAGATTCACTGGGAAAAGGGAAACCTCTGCTTTACACAAGAGAGCTGCAGTGCTGCTGCTGGGCATGGCTGCACGGTAAGAGATGCACCTTCCAGAGGGTTAAAAGGAAGCAGTTATTCAAGTTTAATAAGTAAGGTTCCATTTATCTTGGCTTTAACTGGCAGGTTGTTTTAGTAAAAGGTATTACACGACTCTAAAGAAAGCACCTTATGTGACTCAACCCACAGAAATAAGCTCTTTGTGTGGATGCAGTTTTCTATTTAAACTAAGTAAACGTGGTAATTAGCTGTGAGATTAACTCAGCTGAGAGACACAAAGACGTGATTTACTTCCGTCTCAATTCATTAAAATTTTAGAACAATTTCAGCTCAACCACGTCTGATTTGCCCAAAATTTTATAACATAAACGATCAACATTCTAAGTAATTTTGTTCAAGAACTGTGAGTCAAAAAATATCTTGGAAAGTATTTGACATATCAAAGTGAAATAAATGTTACTGACTGAATATTCTCTTCGATTAATGCCATCGACTAATCAGTTGGGGAGCAAATCAGAATAAAGCGTAAAAAAAACAACAAAAAAAACGAGTTGATGTATTTTCTGCATCTCCAACTGAATGCATGTTGTTCCCATCACAATGCAATGAGTAGTGTGTGACACCGCCGCTGCACAACTTGGTTCAGTCGATTGCTAATGTGCAGCTCAGCAGGCTTGAAGATAAAACCTCAGCAAGTAGAAGAACTGGTGAAATGGAGACGCTTCTTACAGCTGATTTAAACCCCAAACTCTTGAGCACAGCCTGCTCTGGATCTGAGGTCTGAACTACGGAGCGAGATTAGTGGGTTACCGAGGTATGTTGAGCCTAAAGTCATGAAGGTGGCTCGCTTTTTACCTGCTACATCTCCATGGTAACTGATGCTGCTGAGCTAGATCTCCATGGTAACTGATGCTGTGGAGCTAGGTCTCCATGGTAACTGATGCTGTGGAGCTAGGTCTCCATGGTAACTGATGCTGTGGAGCTAACCTGGTCAGGAGCAGGTTGTGTTCAGAGTTTAGGACTTAAATCGGCTGAAAGAGCGTCTCCCTTTAACCAGATGGTTTCATGATGATTATTTCTGAGCGATCCAGATTCTCAGCTGATGGAATGTGTTTTATCTGCTAACATACTGAGCTGTGCGTTACTAATATCACTGAATGAAGCCGTGTAGTTACAATATCACACACTGTAAATGTCACGTTGCCATGGGAACCGGACATGTATTTAGTTGGTGATGCAGAAATCACATAAATATGTTTTTATGTTTGGTCCGTTCACTCTGCTGCTACTGCAGCTGATAGAACACAGATTAGAACATGGATTATTCTGCTGGTATTTATTACAGAGAACATTAAATCAATAACATTAATTCACTTTGATTAAAGTCATTTCCTGCATTATGGGACAGTGTCAGACCTAAATGTACTTCCATACAAGATCAGGTTTAAATATGTGAAGTTTAAAGTTTAGCTTTAAGCTGTCAGTTGGAAATAATCGGCTGCATCAGTAAAATATTATATATTAACATGTTTAACAGTTTTCCACCAGCATTCCTGTCTTCATCATTTGTAGTAGCGGCGCTTTTTACTGTCATAAATGTTTATATTCCTCATCGTTCTCCATTAAAACAACGTGTTGACTGAAGCAGCTGCACACGATCGGTTCATTTTGAGCAGAAGAAGAGTCACGTGATGCGTTCAACGCCTGCTTTTATGTGAACAGAGTCTGAAGCAGAAAGTCTGAGTTGACGAAGAAAGTTGACAAACACCTTCTGATACCTGATATGTCTGGCTGGGGTTTAGTTTTTGTTGAGCTGACTTACACAAAGACGGCCTGGATATGTCGATTAGCGGTGCAGCATCTGTTACCATAGTGATTAAAAGGAAGTCGTCTTTGCGACACTAAAAACTCAAACTGTTGGATCAACATACCCGCCGGTCCAACTCAGTGTTTCCTTACATCCTTATTTCGTCCACGCTGGAATCTGATCTCATGGATAATCAGACACATGCTCCACAGCCTGTATTTAGTAAACAGCTCCGTTTTGGCTGAGTTGCAGGTTGTTGTTCATACTCAGGATGTGTTTACTGTGGATGAGTGAAAGGCTCGCTGATCGGTGGAAGCAGATTTAGCCAGAGCGCTGCTGAGGCGTATCACAGATTTCATACTGAGTCACGGCGTTTCTGCACCACTGAGCGGATCTTTCTCACCAACATCTCGGTAAATTGGTTTTTACATGCGGCTACAATCTCATTACGTTCCCGTTATAGTTTGTGCTGAGCGCTGAAGGTGTCAGAATGTGTGGCTTCTAAAGGCAACAGGATTACTTTGGAGTGAGACTGTACATCCGGGTCTGAATAATTAAACGCGGCAGGACTGTGGGGGAATAAGCTCTATCATGTTTGAACAGGTTCGGTCAGGTGGAAGGAGGCAGAAATCCCAAATGACGTCAGGGTATCCGTACAGTGGCTCCTCATAAATATTTACCACAAATCCTATTTTAGGAAGTTTTTTAAATATTCCTGATCTGCAGCGAAAGAATGAAAACTGACAGGATCTGACTGTGAAGCTACAAGTTTACAGTCCAACCGCATTTTAACACGGAGCAAGTTTTATTTATTTTTATCACAGAGCAACCTTTATCCTTGTTGTTTCATCTATTGGCAGAAGTAAATATGCTGCTGCAGCTCTGAGTGAAGTAAAGGAATGATGTGAACTCTGTCCTGCACAACAGCACTTCCTTTTTACATTTGGGTCCTGCCTCGGCTACTTGACATTCAGCAAATCCTCTCGTTAGTCAGAACAGAAGCCCGGCCTCGGCTCCTCTTCATTGTAATCAAAGTCACGACCGTACAACTGGGCTCCTTGCCAGAGCATTATATATATATTTAGTGTTCCCTCTCAGTCTACCTCAAAGCCTGCTGCCGCTGCTGCTGTAGGGAAGAGCGAGACTATCTGCAGTCCACCCACACTGCTGCCGCTCTTCATCCAGCATCGCAGCATTCATAACCTATTAAACCTCGTGTGCTTCTGCTAACCCGTCCTCCTACACGCATTATCTGGGCAGCAGCCGAGCGCTGGCAGGGCCCGCTCAGAGCGGTTGGGGCGACGCGGGGCCGCAGATGTTATTGCTTCGCTTTGCATGATCACGTGACGGGTTGGGGATTATGAAATGCACGCTGTCAGTTGTTTTTTTTAAAGTGTGTTTCTGTGTGGGTGTAACAGGGCGGAGAGGGAGGTGGTGCTCAGTAACCTGGACACTCTCTGTTCGGTGGCGCTGGGCGAGAAGGTGACCGAGGACTTCCTGCTGGCCAGAGACACAGTTATCACCATCTGCAGCATCACCGACCACGTCAGGGTAAGAACACGTGAAGCATCTGTTGACAACCGGAGTCACCTGAACCTGTGGATCAGAGAGTCACCAGGCTGCTGTGATTCCAACAAGATTACACACACAAGTACAGACTGAACTGCAGAAACGAGCCTAAAAACACACCAACAGACCAAACCACAGACATTTTTTATCTGCTTCATACTTTCATGACTTGCTCATAAATACTATGTTGAAATTATGGCCACTATTTCCATTATTGATTTTTTTTTTTTCTTTTATTGATCAGCTGAAAATGTTAAAAAATGTGGATCAGAGTTTCCTCACATGTCTTGTTTTGTCCAAAGATCTTCAGTTTATTGTCACATAGGGGGAAAGAAACCAGAAAATAGTCACTCAGAAGAAGCTGCAATCTCAAAATGTACTGTTTTGATTAAAAAATTAGTCAAAAGGATTAATTTATTATCAAAGTAGTTGGAGACTAATTTAGCAGTCAATCTAATCTATTAATCTTTGCTGCTCTGGTTTCAACAGATTCAACTGCAGAGTTGGAGTCTAAAAAACACACCAACAAACCACAAACATTTTTTATCTGCTTCATACTTTCATGAATTGCTCATAAATATTTTTACAGCTGCAGCTGACGACTGTTTTTGTTTCTCTTCTTTTATCAATCAGCTGTTTGAAAATGGTGACAAAGATCTTCAGTTTAAGAAGCTGCAATCACAGAATTTAGACTTTTAAAAATTAAAAATCACTCAAACTGATTAACCGATAATCAGAACACTTGATTTAATGGTTGACGACTAATCGATTAATCTCTGCAGCTCACTAAAGTTGATTCATTCAGTCGCTGCAGCTACAAACTGTCGGAATTCTTCTTCTCCTTCGACTTATTTCACTCAGCTGATCAGGTTTCTAGAAGAGTCTCCATCTGTCCAACTACCAAAACCTCCAACTGAACGTCTCACAACAACCGACGTGACAGAAATTCCTCCTGATTCTAAAATCTGCTGGAGGCGACCAAACCGGAGCTAAAAGTCAGGATTCATTCAGAACAGCTGCAACTAATGATTAAGTTCTGGATGAATCGATCAGCTGTTTGAGCTCTAAAATGTCGTAAATGCAGAAAAATGTGGATCAGAGTTTCCTCAAGTGTCTTGTTTTGTCCAAAGATCTTTGTTTTACTGTCACAGAGGAGGAGCTGCAATCACAGAACTGAACTGAAAGTGTCAAACCCATCAGAGTTGGCCAATAGTTTGATAGCTGATCAATACATTTTGGGCTGTCTCTTATTGTCTTGGGTGGAAAAACAACTGCAGCTGCATCACCTGGCGTAGAGGTTCTGAGTCCAGGGCTCCAGAATATTTGCGAACCGGACCATGAGGTCTCCCAGGGTGATGATGGCGCTGGCCCGGGCCACCGGCAGAGCGGAGTGTTCTTCACACACTGATGGGCTGACGGGAAGGGAGTCACCCAAATAGTTTCCTAATTAGGAAGTCAGAAAATGTCGGAGATTTGTAATAAATGTCCCAAATTAACGCATCGTGACGGCGTCCAACCGACAGTAGAGCTGCACCGGATGTGACAAATGTGGATCAGAGTTTCCTCAAATGTCTTGTTTTGTCCAAATATGTTCAGTTTACTGTCAAAGAGGAGGAAAGAAACCAGCAAGAATTCACGTTTAAGAAGCTGAAATTACAGAATTTAGACTGTTGTTATTTGAACAGGAATTCTCTTAACTGATCAAAAATAGTTGCGGATTAATTTAGTAGTTGACAACTAATCGATAAATGGTTACCGCTCCAGTGGACCTCGTGGTTCTGTTTCCTTGATGTTAGTTGGTCCAGTTGCCTGCCTATGAAGTGTTAAATAGTATTTTACTGGATGGAGTTGTAAACATCAACTGTAGGATTCTGCTTCTCCTCCTCCCTTCTTCCTGGAACAGGTGTAAAACCCATTTCACTGCACGTTATACCGCCTGTGACCAATAAAGGCCTTGAATCCTTGATCCATCAGCAAAATACTAACTTTTGGCAGAATAAAGCTGCATCCACTACTTTGGTAATCAATTAGTTCCGATCTCTGTGATTGCAACTTCTTCTGAGTGAATACTTTTTTGGTATTTTCCTCCTTTTCAACAGTGAACTGAACATCTCTGGACAAAACAAGACATTTGAGGAAACTTTGATGCAAATTTTTAACCATTTTCTGCTATTTTAGAGCCCAAAAAGCTCATTGATTCATCCAGAAAATATTATTAACAGCCCTGGTTATGAATGCAAGGAAGGTTTTTATATAAAACAATTACACAAACTAATTAAACGATTATCAAAACAGTTGGAGGCTAATTCATTAGGTGACAACTAATCAAAAAATCATTGCAGCTGTAGCTCACATTATTGCATATCAGCGGCCTGTAAATTAAAAAAATGTTATTTTATTTTTCATTGAGTTAAACAAGACATCAAATAACGATGAATAGTTTGAAAGGTCAGTTTTATTTCACATGCCTCACTTTGCGTCATGCTTTTTATGTTGGGAATAAATTATGAGCCTCAGGTTGGATAAACCGTCTGCAGTGCACGAGCACGTCTCAGGCAAACAAATGCTCGTTACGAGGAAAGACTGTACGAAGAAATTCTCCTTCATGATTCGTTGTTAGCAGAGCTGTAATGCTGCAGGACTTTGGAGGATTAATACACCGACGGAGCCCAGACGCAGCGGGAAGGTCTGAGTTCTCCAGATATCCTCAATGTGCACATCAACACGGTGCCACAGCGGTTGATTGTTTGTTTGCGCACCATTGAGTGATCAGAGTAATCAATAATCTAAGTCAGAAACAGTGGGCTGATTCTGATCGGAAGACAGAGCCAGAGAGGGAGGATATTGATTAGGTATTGATCCACTGAGGCTATGAAAACCTATTAAAAAATCAGTTATTTCTCTGCAGATATAATAGACTCACATCTTTTTTTTTTTCTAAATAGAAAAGATAAGATGAACTTTATTGATCCCTAACTGGAAGAATTACAAAAGTACAGTCTGACTGATTGATTGGTTGATTGATTGATTATAAGCACATGGAAGCAGAGAGCATGACCTGGCCCTTACTGATTTTTTTTTATTGTGTTATCTTGGTGAAGCAACAACAACAACTCTAATATCTCTGTTCATGTGTTTGTTCCTGCAGCAGTCCAAAGGAGCTCCCTTCAGACTCCCTCAGGAGCACCAGCTGTTCACCTGCCTCACTCAGGCCGTCGCTGAAGGTAAACACACCTCCGTTCAGAGCTCCCGCCTCCTGTGGTTCCCTCCTCTGACCGCACCTGTGCGTTCCTCCTCCAGGTGTGGTGATGGAGGACCCGTACTGGCAGAGCTTCATGGAGCAGGCCGTCCGGCTCCTCTACTTCCTGGCCGAGTCTCCGGACCAGCTGTGCTCCCGGCTGCTGCAGCGGAGCGCTCGCCTCGTGCTCGATCAGATCGCGGAGGGCGGCGAAGTCAACAAGGACGTCAGCCAAATACAGGACGGATCTCAGGACTCCGGCGATCAAGGCGAGCAAGGTGAGTGTCTCCGTGTGCAGCCGGTGTTTTTACTGGAGCTGTCCTCTGCAGACTCTCTCCATCGTGGTGTTCTGTCCCGCAGTGAGCTGTGTGAGTCTGGCCCAGCTGCTGGCCGTGTGTGGCGCCGTGGCGTTCTGGCAGGTGTCTCACCTGGAGAGGAGTGTGAGCGCTGAGCTGAGGAGAAGGAGGGGGGAGACGGAGGAGAGGGAGGAGAAGGAGAAAGGTCCGGCCAGCAAAGCCAAGGTGAGGAGCTGCTGTACAGGTGACGCTGAGTCAGTTAGCTGGAGGACCAGTCATTTCTGCTCCACCATCTCTGAAAGTTTTGTAGCATCAACTTTGGATCTTCACAACGATATTTATGACATTTTAGATTCATATATCAAATACTTTCTGAGATTTCTTTTTTCTTTTTTATAAATTTGCCCGTCAATCCACTTTCAGCAGTTTTTTTTTCTCACATAGAATTTTGTTTCTGTTTGAACAACATCTCAGGAACTATTAAAGATAAAAACCTGAATTTTTTACTGTTATTTCACATCATTGATTCAGATTCTGTAATATTAGACAAGTAGGTGAAAATATCTAATTATGGGTGAGTTAAACTACGAGGGGAAAAAATTATACTTTGTGAAAAGTCCCATCCTTGAGCACATTAATAAAAAAAATGGATGATGCAGAAATCAACTAGTGATATTTTCTGATTCTGAAATTTCTGCTCAACCATCTCAGCATACACTGGATATTTATAAAGATATTTCTGACATTTTAGACTCATGTTTCTTTCAGGGATAATTTTAAAAAAACGACTCACTGTCAGCAAGTTTTTTTCACATGTTGAAATTTGAGGCTGTTTAATTTTAACAGAAAATTTAAGCTCAGCCGTCTCTAATTTGCCTGAAATGTTTAGAGCATAAACTGTGGATATTTCTAAAGTTATTTCTCAAATTTTAGATGAACATATCAAACACTTTCTGAGATAACTTTTTTTTTTTAAAAAAGGCCCATTGACCCACTTTCAACTTTCAGCAGGTTTTTTTTTCCCCACAGATTTGAGGGTTTTTGAGCAACAATATCTGAGGAAGATAAAAGATAAAAACGTGAAACGTTCTCTGGTATTTCTCATCATGTCACTGATTCAGCCTGTAAGTTAAGAGATGACCCTGGAAATAACTACGCATTACACAGTTAGACTATCACTCCAAATAAGAAATGGCACCTACTATAATTTTAAAACTAGATTTATTGCTTTAGTATCTGAGTAAACTGGTTAAAGACTTGTACTTGTTGAGAGGATCTGCTGTTTTCCTGATTTATGTTAATACAGAAACAATCTCACTGCGTCACCTTCAGGTCTGAGATGGACGTTTTCATTATCTTATGACATTTAATGTGGAAGATTTTAACGATATTCATAAAAACAGGAAGAAACCTTCGCACTGTCGTCGAACTGCTCAGAGTTCAGCCTCACAGAAGTTGTCGTTTTCTTGTTTTTTTTGCCTCTGCAGACGCTTTAATGTTACTTAACGCTTAGCGATGGAGTCAAAACAGCCCCGTGCAGTGAAAAGCTTTCTGACAATCAGACGGAGGCTCAGCGGGACGGTCTGATGAGATTTATTTTGGTGACACAGTCAGATGGCTCATAATTGTTCGGCACATCGGGGAGCGGCAAGATGAATGTTTCCTTAATTATCGTCGGAGTTTCTCTTTATTGCTCGTTTATCTTTTGTTTTGTCACATTTTCCGTCTTTGTGGCACAAAACAAAGTCTGTAGGTCGGATTCGAGCCTGGCATGGTAACACTGAGGGGGACTGTGAGGCTGTTTTCAACCTCCGAGTCTGCTTAGAAACACTTCGTGGAAGATTTTAAAGTTGTTCTGCACTTCTGTACTGCTGCTTGTTTTACTGGCCGACATGTTAACTCCCTCTGATGCCCAAAGCAGCAGGCTTAAACGGCATTTCACCCTTCAAAAACCAAACAAACACCAAAATAACACCATTTATCAGCCAGAAACTGCAAAAATAGGAAGAAATTGCTGGATGTTTAAGTTGTCGATGGTCCTGTTCGGTTTGGGAACCACAGAATCTCATCTCTGCTGTTTGCAGATGATGTTCTGTTGGCTTCATCAAACCAGGACCTTCAGCGTGCACTGGGGCGGTTTGCAGCCGAGTGTGGGGCGAGCGGCATGAGGATTCAGCACCTCCAAATCCGAGGCCATGGTTCTCGACCGGAAAAAGGTGGCTTGCCCTCTCCGGGTCGGTGGAGACTCCTTGCCTCAAGTGGAGGAGTTCAAGTATCTCGGGGTCTTGTTCACGAGTGAGGGGCGGATGTAGCGTGAGATCGACAGACGGATCTGTGCAGCGTCTGCAGTGTTGCGGTCGCTGTACCGAACCATTGTGGTGAAGAGGGAGCTGAGCAAGGCAGCAAAGCTCTCGATTTACTGATCAATCTACGTTCCTACTCTCACCTATGGTCATGAGATCTGGGTAATGACCGAAAGAACGAGATCACGGATACAAGCGGCCGAAATGAGTTTCCTCCGCAGGGTGGCTGAGCGCTCCCTTAGAGATAGGGTGAGGAGCTCGGTCACGCGGGAGGAGCTCGGAGTAGAGCTGCTGCTCCTCCACATCGAAAGGAGCCAGCTGAGGTGGCTCGGGCATCTTTTCCGATGGCTCTACACATGCAATAAGCTAAACTCAGCTGATATATTTCAGCTCAACTTCACTGAAGAGCGTCGGGACTTCTGGTCCACGCTGGAGGTTTCACTGTGAAATCCAATCCGACTGCATGATTACTGCAGAGTGTCCAGATTAGACTTTCTAGGGATGTTCTGAAGCGTTTAGCGTCTGTTTTCATAAATCTGCTTTAACGTGCGATGTTATTTATTTATTTTTTTTCTCCCAACAGCAGGTGGCCAACGAGAGCGCCATGGAGGAGGAGCTGGGGCTGATGGGCGCCTCGGCCGACGACACGGAGGCCGAGCTCATCAGGAAAATCTGCGAGACCGAACTACTGGCTGGTAAATAAAACCAACTTGTGCATCTGTACCCACTCCTCTGAGGAGTCTTTTTATTTATATATGTGACATAAGCACACCTCCACTTGTCTGTGCAGAGGAGAACCTGCTGAGTGCGTTCCTTCCTCTGCTGGTGAGAGTCTGCAGCTCCCCAGGACGTTATTCCCACCCTCAGCTCACCACAGCTGCCTGTCTGGCTCTGTCGCAGTACATGATGATCAGGTAAACAAGCCGTCTGTTCATCAATCGATTAGACAGCAATCCGTTGTTAAGGCCATAATTTATGCCAAACAGTCACTGCTTATCGCTAATTTCCTTAAATCGTCTGTGATAATCGTATTATCGTTGGGTCTTGTGCTATCAGTAGTTATATATACATTTTTTACTATTATATGACATTTCACAAACCAAATTATAAAACTGAGAAAATTCTATGAATAAATAAACATCTTAAAATAAACATTACTTCCATGTGACATAGAAAAGATTAGCTAAAGAGCTACAGAGACAGAAAATTACCACTCTGTTCTTACTGTATGACGCATAAACTGCATTTTTTTTTGTTTCAATGTTTGTACTCTGTGCAATGAACATGAAGTTGAATCTAATCTAAACACATCGTACATGTCAGAAAATAATTAGCTGAAGAAAAATTCTGAGATTAGTTTTTTTATTTCTAATATATGTAGCATGTTCACACCACTCTGTTCTCAGTGTGTGTGACGCATTTTGGTGCTCAGCTGCATTTTTTGTTTTAGTATTTGTGCAATGACAGTGTAGTTGAATCTAATCTAAACATATAAACACATGTCAGAAATAATCACTACAGACAGTAAATATGACTGGGATTAATGCTGTTAGACAAGCATTAGGTGCTGTGAGATTTTCCACCATATTTTACTGATTTCTGACATTTTCAGAGCCTTTCTGTTCTGACGTCTTCCTTCCTTCCCGTCAGCCCGTCGGTGTGTGAAGAACACATCCGCCTCATGTTCACGGTGTTGGAGCGCTCCACCTTGCCGGTGGTCCGGGCCAACGCCATCATCGCCTTGGGAGACCTCACGGTCCGGTTCCCCAACATCCTGGAGCCCTGGACTCAGAACCTCTACGCCAGGTGATGTAGCTGACAGCAGCAGCAGCAGCTCACACTAACCGACTCCATCCAGTTTGATTCATAATATCCGCAGCTTTGTTTCGTTTTTTTCCCACCCAGCATCGCGCTCCCACGGCCGGCGGCTCGGCTGAGTGGGAGTCCTTTAAATCGGGTCGCACGCTTCTCCATCGTCTCGGTGCGTTTCTCTCGGAGCCGATCGACCGTTGCCACTGTCACGATGCTCCACTGAGCCACATGATGGGAAAACTTCCCCGTCGCCACTTTTCGAGCCAAACTTCGAGTCGATCTGGCAAACCCCCCGGCGATGCTGACCTGTGTGGTTGCCATGGGAACCGGCCCGTCGCTTTGTGACTTTCGCAACACCCGCCCCCGCCGCTGAACCCGGGCGGAGCCTCGGACCGCCGGGGGCGCTGCGAGACAACGAACAGCTTAATTGCTAGCGTGTCCAGATCGCGACTGGAACCGATGACCAGCAGGTTGTAATTACGCGGCGCGGATGAACGAGCAGAAGGGGATAATTTCAGGCGAAAGGTCGGCGCTTGTAAAGACGCTTTCTTTTAAAAAACACTCAACGGTCTCACACAAACCCGTAGAGAACTTGGACGCCGAAGTTGCTCCATTTGATGGAGTGTGGTTTTAATTATAACAGCTGATAGCGCTCCGTGAGGTGTTTTGGACGTGTACAACATTCTTCTCTTTTATTCTGCGTCACTGCCCTCCCAGTGTTTCCCACCTGATAAGCATTTCACAGTCTTCCCTAATTGTCTCCCACACACCAACACCTCCACTGTTCTCAGAGCTGCTGCCCTGGCACCTCCTGATAAGCGCATTAAGAATTAATTACCCCGCTCATTGCTGTTGTAAGCTGCAGCACTGGCATGTGGAAGTACCATGTACGAGCGTCTGATCCGCTGCCAGGAGTCCTGCTCTCTGGCAGCACTGAGAGCTGGTTAATGAGTTTCTTTTGTTCTGTGGTTTTTTTGGGTTGAGTTTGAGAGTAAATTGGGCTTCCGGGTGGCGTCGGATCGCCCTGCCGCAGCCTGGCCTGGTCCCATTGTGTCGTGAGCTGTCACGGTTGTTTGGTTTTAGGAGCGTTCTGGCTCATTTCAAGTCTCTATTGGAGCCTTAATTAACTGCGACTGGGGGAGTAATTTCCACATCGCTCTTGTTTTTAGCCACGATGGCGACGTGGCTCGAGGGCCTGCAGTTTGGTTGTTTCAGTCCAATTCAGCCCAGTTTGAAATATGAAGTAAATACAGCTGGATGAGCTGCAGTTACACTTCTACTCATGTTGTCATGAGGATGATTTTTTTACCAGCAGGTCAAACTTTTAGCAGGTACTGGTTGTTGTTCTTCTTCTTGTCTCATTTTTTCTTCACTGTGGCTCAAACAGAGGCATGAAAAAGAGATGGAACTCAGAGATGTCGCAGTTAGAACGATGAAAATTAGAAAAAAAAATAATTGGGATTATTTATTTTACAAAAATGTGAAAACCTGGAACCAACATGTCCAACATTTTGCTCCACACACTGTAGATGTTTAACTATTTACGTTTTCACAGACTTCAGTTTTGTCTCCTTTATGTTGTTTTATTTCCCTCCGTCTCTGTCTTGTAATGTCGTTTATGTTCCTTGATTTGGTTGTTTCTTTCATATTGTCATTTTTCCATGTTTCCGTACTTTTTCCTCTCTGTCTGCTCATCAGCTGTAGAAAGATGTTCCACCATCAGATGTAGAAAGATGTTCCACCATCAGCTGTAGAAAGATGTTCCACCATCAGCTGTAGAAAGATGTTCCACCATCAGCTGTAGAAAGATGTTCCACCATCAGCTGTACAAGATGTTCCACCATCAGTGTAGAAAGATGTTCCACCATCAG